CAACTGAGCGATTCTGTGATTCTGTGATTTGGACAACAGGGTGATTCCCAAGTGGAGGAAGCAGTTTGGATAGCCAGAAATCATCTCATATTTCTTATTAATGGAAAAATCTTGTATTCAAACCAAAGTTTGTTGTTTGATTGTCTTGGTGTGGGTGTACAGTACATTCATTTGGCTCAGCTTCTGCTTATGTTGAGTTTAGCTGTAGAAAGGTCCTATGGTGATGTGTGGCACATAGGCATTTACCACCAAATGCCTGTTTTGAGATCCCTCCTCGAGTCGCAATATGAGAGGAGCGTTGTGGTACCGTTCCAGTCTGTCATCATAAACTGCCTCCTGGCAACACTTTTTGTCTGTGAGAGATCTCCCTCTCAAAGTTCTTGAAACACAGGACCCTGTTTCTTGCTACAGTTGATCATCCAGACTAGTGTGTTTTTAACACTGGAAGATAATATGGGCTCATTTATAGCACATCTTGGCATGGCATCTTCATGCATGGTGGATGAGTTCATTGGCAGTAAAAACAGCCCATGCAGCCCTGCGCTGGAGCACAGAGAGGCCCTGATGGCAGAGCCATTGAAAAATCACCATTGCCACTTCAAAATGCGTCAGTCTGGTGTAAAAAACACAGCTTCCACTCCTCTTCCACTCTTCTTTTTTGTTCTGGGTTATTCAGTATTCATGGGTTTGAGATTTTTATCTATCAATGGTAGTGGCAAATGTAATTTCTTTTTTATAGTAATCTCTTTTTAATAATAATATCTTTTTAATAATAGAAGCTGGGGTTTTTCAGATAATTATGGGACTCTTGGAGACTGGCTCTGTGGTCAAAAATACTAAGGATTTGCTGTACTGCTGTTGTTATTGCGTCAATTGAAACTTCAATGTAAAGACAGAGGTTCGTTGTTGTTACTGCGTTTTCATGGACTCATTCAGGTTAAAAAAGGTCCTTAAGATCATAGAGTCCAAGCTCAAACCTAACACTTGCCAGATCCACCACTAAACCATGTCCTGAAGTGCCACATCTATCCATCCTTTAAATACCTCCAGGGATGGTGACTCAACCACTTCCCTGGGCAGCCTGTTGCAATGCCCAATAACCCTTTTGGTGAAGAAATCTGACATAAACTTGAGACAAGCTGCTCGTGAGAACTGGGGCTCTTGAGTCCCAGACCTTTTCCGTGCTCTTTTTCTTGGCATCTACAAGTGAATGACAGGTGTTCTTCCAGCTTTTACAATTAATAGCCCATGAAGAAAAGAAAAAATCCTCCTGTTTACTTTGCAGGCAGGTAAAGGGATCAGAATTGCTCTTTTCTTGTATGCTTTTGGGTTGGATGATTTCCGCAGGGCCGGGAGGGGGTTGCTCTCGCAGGGGGCTGTTCAGCAAGGAGCGAGGGTGGAGTTGACAGCTGCCACCAGAGCAGGGCTGCCTCTTACTCCCTGTCTGGTTTACACAGCTCAGTGCCCCGCTGCCTGCATCTTCCTCCACCTCGCTGCCTGCCGTTTGCCGTTGGGATCTCGGTGGCAGGCTCAGGTTGGAGGAAGCGTTGATCTTCCCGGGCTTTGATGTGTTAATTCCCCAGAGGAGCTGCTGGCTCCGCCTGAGGAGCGCTGTTGCTGCTTCTCGGGCTCTGCTTCCCACATCTCCCCCTCTGCTGCCACGTTTGCCTCCATCCTTGGTTAGAGGAGGAAACCTGCCGTCACTTAACCTCCCCGTCTCGGTTCAGAGGAGCCCTGACGGTGCCTGCGGTGCTGGGGCCGCAGCTCTCAGCCTCGGCTGCCTGCCACAGTCGCTCGTGTCCTTAAATGCATGAAGATAGTCATGACCAGCATGGAGTATAGCTGGGACATTCACGGACACTGTGTCTGGCTAAATAAGGTAAGGCTATCTGTGTTTGTTCTGGCTCTTGCATTTCTCCCAGTGACAAGCCATAGCTGGGCAACGCTGGTAGGGAATAAGGATTTCATCTTTCTCTTGTGTCGGATACCAGCTAAGCTGCTGTCGAAGAAACTGAATATTTTGAAACGGTTGCATCTTCGCTATTCAACAGCTGTGTTGTTTATATTTAGAAAATGTTTCAGGTAAACTCCTGAGAGCGACGTTCTGTCTTAAACTGGTTTTCTTTCAGAATTCACTTCTATTGTAGTGAAGCCTTTAAAATACAATGTGGGGGGTGGGTTGATTGGGATCGTGGAGTTTTTTCCACCGCCCCTGCTCATTCTGTAAGAAGGAACTAATCTGTAAACTTTAGGAAAAGCTCAGGTCTGTCTGCCAGCTGCCAGAGCATGCGGAGCAGGCTGCAAATATTCAGCGCAATGAGCAGGGAGGTGTGAAGTACAGGAGATGCCAGTTTGGGAGGGCAGCAGTGTGCTTCCACACAAACTGGTTGTACACTGGTATGGATTGTGTTCAGGCAGATTCGATCAGTAAATTTGGGATGGAATCGATATTTACAGAGGGTAAAGGTGTCACGTCTGTATCACAGGGGAAACAGTGGCGAATACTTTGCTTGGAAAACCTGAGGGCTCTTGGGCACACCAAGGGATGTTGAGGTAGCTGAGGCTGGAGGAGCCCCCTTGCAGGAGACTCTTAATAATCAGAGAGAACAAGCAGAACAGCGGTAGCTGTGCTTAACTGAGCGTAGGCAATGTGTATTATAATGATGTGAACATCATAAGCATGTTGATGAGCTCTGATTTAACTCCAGGTGGCCAGGAAAGCTCACTTGCCCAACTGTTGACTGGACTGTGGTGGTCAAAACAGTCAGTGCAATCTGCCGTACAAGAAAATAGCGCTTTGGAGTAGCAGCTCCTTCTATACAAACCAAATTGCATCTACAAGAAGAGCAGTGTGATCTGTGCTGTGTATTTTGCCTCAAAAGCAGAAGAAAAGATGAAGGGAAATGAGGGTATCAGCTGCTGTAGGCTGAAAAGGAGTTTTATTTTCGAAAGGAGAATTCAGCAACTGAGAGGAAACATTTTTTTAATTATTAGGAGGTTTAAAAAAGCAACTATTAGAAACTTTCCTGCAGTTTGGAATGCTAACTCACTTCCAGGGAAACAGGATTAAAGACTGAGGGCAGGCAAACTGTGGAAGTTTGGTGATGCATCTACTTATTACAGGAATAATTCCCTCCAGAGCAGTGTGGATTTTTACACTTACATGATTGCAGACAAAGCTCACACACATGTTTAGCAGATTAGCCACAGATTGATCTTGCAGAATTTTTAAGTGCATTGTGTCTGATCTTGTAAGGCATTTTAAGTAAATGCTTAACCTCATACTTCTGCGAAGCCTCAGTGGCATCGTGACAACTGTTATTTTGTTTCTAGGATTGAGGTCAGTATTAGTAAATTTGCATTCTCTTTCCAAACAGTATTTTGCAATTAATCCCTAAATTGAAAACATATGCAAAGTCTAACCACGTAATTGAAGATAGATTTTCAGTTGCTTTTGAAAAAGAGCCTTCTTTGGAAAATGGCAGAGCTTGCCTTACACAGCTAGTAAACTATGATAATCCTGTATTGACTTCAATAATGCAAATTTAATCGAGAACTACTAAGTGTCCCAAATACGCTTGGAGTTGCTGTTGAACCAAATATTTACTTTTCTTCTCCAAAGTTTGGCCATTGCTTTACAGGGTGAGTAGTTGCCAGGCTCAGTCCCAGGGAAGGCTGTGGGTCCCCAGGTGGAGAGAAGCTCCTGAAGGACACGCTGGGCGCTGCTCACCCAGGTTTTGCACACACCAGCTCTCCTGGCATCTTTCAGACCTCCCTGCAGCTCATACCTCCCCGCTGGGGCTCCCTCTACCCCATCTGCTGGTGCACTGATTTACCATATCCAGTGTTTTGTCATCTTCCCTGTCCATTTCTCTTCACTCCTACCCACTGCTATCATTACCCTGTTCTTCTTTTCATGTGTTTTATCTCCTCTCTTCTTTCCTCATCGCTTTGAGAAGAAGAGAAGGCTCCGGGGTACATTATTGCAGCCTTCCAGTTCCTGAAGGGGTCCTACAGGAAAGCTGGGGAGCGACTTTTTACAAGGGCACGTAGCAACAGAACGAGATGGAAAGGTTTCAAACTGGAAGAGGGCAGATTTAGACTGGATATTAGGAAGAAATTCTTTACTGTGCGGGTGGTGAGGCACTGGCACAGATTGCCCACGGAAGTTGTCCATGCCCCCTCCCTGGAAGTGTTCAAGACCAGGTTGGACAGGGCTTTGGGCAACCTGGTCTGGTGGGAGGTGTCCTTGTAGGCAGGAAGATTGGACTGGATGATCTTTGAGGTTCCTTCCAACTCAAATCATTCTGTGATTCTATGATTCCGGGAAGCAAATCGAACCAGGTATCAACTTTTTACCTTTGAAGGCAGCTCAGAGGAGAGATGCGGGAAGGCATCGTGTGGCCACTGCCTGCAGGTCTCTGACTTCTGCACCACTACAGGAGCTGCTGGGGCTGCTGCTCTGTGAAACAGCTGCCAGGGCCTTTCTGTATCGTCCTTTTTTCAACTCTCCTCTTTTTCCCTGCTGAAACCAAAGTCAGTAACTTTCTTGCCTTTTCATACCTAAAATGAAGAGTCAGTCTCAGGCATTACACAGAAGTTACAACATTTCAGGCAAAATGTAAACTGCTTTTGGATTGAGCACAAAGTTTTCAGGTTTTGGTGTAATACAGGGGGTCTGGTTTTATGCAGATTTTACAAAATATTTCTGTTGGTAGCCAGTAAAGACATCTTAGTATTTGGTTTTGTGGGAGAGCAAGCTTTACCCAAGTCCTGTTTGAGGTTCCCATCACCTTGTCCTTCTTCCTGATGGCAACGTTCAGCTGCGACCTGAGCTCTCACTCTCTGAATGCTCCTATTTTAATGCCAAGTGTGATGTGCTGAGCAAAACAGGATTTTTTTGAGAAATGTGAAGAGTTTAACAACAAAGATGTCTTGGCAAGATGCTGTGCACAATGACTAACATTCTGCTTTAACACCTCATCGGTTTTCACAGCGTTGTAAAGACATTTTCATCGTAGTGTGAAACCAATACTTACCTCCCCATGTTTTCTTCACGCCATCTTTGGTTTTAGTTAATCTGTGTCTGGTTACGCTGACTGGAGGTATCAAGTGGTTCAGAGGTTTGGGTACTGATGTGGTGCTTGGGAGGCAGGTAGTTGAGTCTGTGCTTTGATGAGGATTTTCGTGTGGGCCCCAGCAGGAAGAAGGGGTGTCTTTGCACCTCAGCTGCCTGCTTGTAATGAGGATTTCCTACATCAGACACGTACACTCTGGATTGATAAATGTGTTGTGTATTACAAAATATGGATGCTGTATGTACAGAGGCTGAGTAAGAGCCTGAGATGTACTGGAGGACTTTAAATGAGAAGGGAGCTACAGAATAGCAAAAGTATGCAAAAATATTGGGTTTGTATTTCACGTACAAGTCAAGTTACAAAACGTAAAGCGTAATTTGCTAGTTGAGCTGCTAACAAGTTTATTTTGGAAACTCTTGACTTCTTTCACCTACATTAAAGTGTTGCAAAACTGAAGATCTCACTGATCTTGAATGAAAATCCCGTGGCATGAGCTAAATTCTGGTGGAGGTCAGGGGAAAAATGGGACAAACTCCGAAGCTTAAAGTACTTCTGCCTTGGTGCTTAGTGTCTGGATGGTCAGAAGGCCTAGTAATTTACTCCTAAGTAATTCAGATACGGGGTATCATTATGCTATGAGGTATTGGTACAGATTACTAGAGAGCATCCTTTCTTAGTCTGCCGTAGCTCTTGCGGCTTCAAGGGAGATACTGTGATAACCTTGTAGAAGTCCTGCATGTGTGCTTGGGAGATGCGTTTGCTACTGTGCACTGATTTAAAAGCTGCCAGGACACAGCCTGATTTCTTGAGAACACTTAAGGTGAGGTAAAATACTTTGTACTTCCGTCTGTTTACTTTTTGTCTAAACTTTAAGTGGTGCTGGTGAGGATTTGGTTCTTTCAGTTTCAAATGGGGCAGTTTGTCCCACCACCCAAGGTCAGACATGTAACTTGGAAAAGTAGTTTTAGCCAGCAGGTTTCCTGAGGCATCCCCTGCCATCGGAGGAGATGAGCTGCTTGAAAGGGCGATTCAAAGCTGGAGCCCAAGGCTTGCAGCTCCTGAGTGGTGGTGGCCGCTCAAGGCAGGGTGGTGCAGCAGACTCACCGGGGCACGAGGATCAGTCACCCGTTTTATTTCATCGCATGTTCAGAGGGAAATCAAGGCCCCTCAATGTTGATGGCAGTCTCTGCTGAGCTTGCTGGATTTCAGAGCAGCTTCTCAGACTCGTCTAAGCGATTTATGCAATGATGGGAACAAGAATTTATTTCCTGAGCCGAGATCTGATTGTGGCGTCCATCACAGAGTGCTTTGAGACAGCTTTGAATATGGATGGAGTAAAATCCTTCTCACTGCTCAAGAGCATTGAAGTTATTATGAAGAAAGAAAGTTGCTGATTCCTCTGAACCCTCTGATAGCATTAACATGTATTCTTGTTTCTCTTTAGCCTCAGGCAGCTTTCCAAAGAAATGCGTTTAGAGTGCAGACGTTCACCCATACCCAGTAAAATGTGCCTGATGTAAAAGGATGTCTCTTACTGTGTGTTTTAGCAAAAAATTGTTTGACTTGCAAGAAGCATAATGCACATTTTGTAGATTGTACGTTGATTTTTTTTCACTTGCCAAATGTCTCAGGGTATTTGTCTCTTTGCAAGTATGGCTTAGCATAGTACATCATTGAGCACAAATTTTGTTAACAAAATGCTGAATGCACAATAAGTTAATTCTGCAGAATTGGGTCACCAGAAGGTTCTTCCTTTCTCATCTTTAAGCCCCTGAACAATCTTTGTCCTGAATGGTGGTCCTGTATTCTTTGTTGACAGTTTGTTTGATCTGTAACCCTCTGGGGGCTGGAGAATACTTTAAATGTGTTCTTGAACTGTGCAGACTAAAAATACTCCTTCAATGCGTTGATAATGTTGAGTGACACTTATGGTACGATGGCTGACTATGCAATATTTGCTGTCTTTTTAAGACTAATGGTCACATATCTGGGAATGGAGATGTGTATCAAGAAAGGCTGGCTCGTCTGGAAAATGATAAGGAATCTCTTGTTCTGCAAGTGAGTAGTCCCCTAAATTATTTTTATTCTGCTCTTGCATTCATAAGACTTTTTGATAGTAGGTGATAAAATCTCTGAGGATTTATTTGCAGTTGTGTCATCCTGAATGATGTTCAGAAGGCTTGCTGATACCTGCGATTCAACCTGAATTAAGGATAGGTGTGAGTTTGGATTGTAGAAAAAAAAATATCTAAAGACCTTTCTTTCTGTGTATCTGATCTCTTTTTGAATCTTGTTAGCTGAGCAGGTCTGCAGAGCAACCACCTTCTTAGATTCACGTGTGTCCTTAAGATCACCATTTTCCATGACAGTTCACATGCTGTCTGCATCAGATGACAAATGTCCAGTCCTCATGAAAGGTGGCAGAAGCTGTGGGTTTGGCTAACGGTGGGGGAGGAGAAGCAGCTCCTCAGAGGTCCTGCTGACCTGCTGCTGGGCTGAGCTGGGTCAGCTCTGGTGTTCCTGTCAGCTGGTTTACTCTTGCCGTCGAAGTCGGGACTGCCTGGAATCCCTTGGCCTGCACTGATGTGGACCTGGTTCAGGGGCTGTGACCACTGAGCGCTGCTGTAGGCAGCTTGCCCTCGTTCCTAGCAGTACTGCAGATTTCTTCAAAAGAGCCTGTTTAAAACAAAAACTTCATTCAGAAAAGGCAAAATGGGAATCGGTCTGAAGTCTCAAAGGTGGTGTCTTCATCTTGCCTAGCCTCAGTCTGTGTGTTTTAACCTCCTTCGTTTTTATTGTTCTGAAAAGGAGAAGCTGTATGCTTCACATGTACACTGTGTTCAGTCACTTGGAAAGGAGAATAAATTATATGGAGTGAGGTTTAGCTATTTGGTTGTTAAGGTAGGAGGTAGTGGGTTTTAGTTAATGTATTGTCACAGCAAAGGCGTTATTGTTGGCTGTAAAATGCAGCAGCCACCCCTTCTGTAAACTTCCAGGACAAGTCAGGAGGGGAGTTGCAGAATTGCAATGTGTCTGACAGAATTTTGGCTGAAATTCCAGTAAATGTGAGGGGAGAGCTTTCCCTCCCCTCCTGGAGGACTCTGTGTCCACTGCAGACCTCTGCTACTCCTCCTTCTCCCACAGTGGTCCCACTTATCTTTGGCTCAGCCAGCACTGTTTCTCACATACAGTTCTTCAGGTGACACATATGGCATGAGTGCAAGGTGCTAAACATGCATCCCTTTTTCTCCACTGTGCAGGTAAGTGTGCTCACAGACCAAGTGGAAGCCCAAGGAGAAAAGATTCGGGATCTGGAGTTCTGTCTAGAGGAGCACAGGGAGAAGCTGAATGCCACAGAAGAGATGCTGCAACAGGTATTTCACAGCCTCATATCTGTCTTGCTGTCTGTCTTTGTTCTGTCTTAACAAACTGCATTTTGCTTTGGTGAGAGCAGTGTACTTCAAGGTGTTGCACCCCTTGATGTCTCTTAACCAAGTGATGATTTTTTACCATACCTGCTTTAGAGTCTTTATACTTGATAATGTCAGTGCTGCTTTGCACTGTAGGAATCCAGTTCTGCTCTTCTTTGAGCCTTTCCTCACTGAACTTCAAAGAGACTTGAATTAAAGCCTCTGGCAGTGTGGGTGGATTCCCCTCAAAGCTTCTTGCCCAGAGCAACTGATGACAGACAAGTCTTTTTCTCATCCTGGCAGCCAACCTGTGATAGTGCCCCTATTATCTCAGATGTATCCTAGGTGCCTGGAGTCTGTCAGGTGGGTAATAACTGTGTCTCAGGGCTTCAGAGAGTGCAAGGACAAGTGTGATGCTTTTCCCCATGAAAGAGGCCTTTAGCTATAGAAATGAATTGCTGATTTCTTCCCCTTTGATGAATAATTCTGTTATGTTCCTCTTTATCTTGAATCAGGAGCTTTTGAGCAGAACATCCCTTGAAACACAGAAGCTGGATCTTATGGCAGAGATTTCCACTCTGAAGTTAAAGCTTACATCTGTAGAGAAGGATAGATTGGACTATGAGGACAGATTCAGAGACACAGAGGTGAGTAAAACCCAACCACATAAATTGTGAAAGCTGTGTGTGGCTTCACGTCACTTGAATATTTCCTGGGAAATTTCTTTTTTTTTTTTTTTTTTTGGCCAGGCAGAAAGGGAACTCATCTTTAAGGGTAAAACATACATCTTTTAAAATAAAAAGTGTCCTCTCTCTGTGTAAAACCAGAGTTTACCGAAGATTTCCAAAACCAGTTTTTGATTTCTGCCATCAGGAGGGCTGGCATTTAGAATGGATTTGAATAAAATCATGAACATACTGCTCTCTCCTGTCCCAACTTGAAACTGTCACTGTCTTGGTAAAGTATTTCTGAGGCAAATGCTTAAGCCTATCACAAATACAAAAAACATGCATGGGCAAAGACACAGCACATTAAAAGACATAACTTTTGGTTTCAGTAACACAGAAAATGAGGTGACTCAGTGTGAGGGCATTTCGAAGCCTCACTTCAAACCCCAGCCTTACAGAAGCCCAGGACAAAGAGGGCAGCAGTTCCTCATCGCAGCCTGGCTTCAAGGCCAGCAGTGCACAGTGGTGCCAGGCAGAGCTGCAGCCCAGAGCTGCCAGCCCTGGGGCATGTGCTCTCTATGTGCCGCAGATCTGTGTAGCTGAACCTTGCTTGTGTTTGAAGCCAGAGAGCCTCAAAGCAGGTGGGCAAACCCAGTTTTTCAGGAAATTCCAAAACTCAGGCCGAGCTTCACTGCCAGGATGACATACCCCGTGTCAGAAATACCTTGGAGTCTAACCAGGATGCAAAACTAAATTTCTCATTCTGGGTTCATCAGTGAGCTGAAATGTTGGATTTTTGTATTGTTGATGTTTCAGACATCATTCATTTCTAGAAGGGAAGAAGCCATAATATCATTACAGGAGACAAAATTTGCCCTTCCCACTTCAATCAGGGGTTTATCAACTCCCTTCCAGTTTCCTACATGTTTTCCAGTGAAGTGTCGTTTCTCATTTGTATTGCAAGCGTAAAAGCAAAAGTTAGGCTTGCTTTTTGCATTGCTTTCTTTGGGCCCGTCTGAAGTAATATGCAGACCCAGTGAAGTCCACAGGTTGAAAACTCAAATCATGTTCATCTTTGAATGGTAGTGACCATTTATATGGTGATGATGGTATCCATTCCTGCAGGACAGCACACCTGAGTGCTGCCAAGCTGTGTATCAGATTCACGTTGCCTCCAGGCAAGTACTGTGCATAGCAATGCTGAAGAAATTGGCAGGTGGAGAGAATCATGGAAGATCTTCTGTGTCCATAGGAGGTGTGTTAAGAGCTGGCTGCTTTCTCAGCTCCCATGAGGAATCTCTGCCCACACAGTGCTTGGCTCTTCCATGAATTAGAGCATAAAACAGATCACTTTCTTCGCCTGTATACTGACACCTATCATAAGCAGCCCAAACAATAGATAAATGGTTTGACATCAGCAATATATGGCTTTGGAGAGGCAAGGTTTGGTCCAAACTCCTGCAGTGAGCGGATGCTCTCAGAACTGAATTCTACTTCATCACCATTTGTAAACAGCCCGTGGTTTCTCATGCTTTCCAAAACAGGTAACAAAAGTGGTTGGGCTTTGGGTGATTTGCTTCCTCTCTTTCTGTTCTTATTTTTAATGAATATGTTTCTTTGCTGAGCTTTCTTATACTCCCCCTTCTTTCATTTCCCTCCTGAACTACAGTCACTCCATAACTTAAATAGCACAATTCAGACAGCAGACTGAGAAGGTGGATTTGGAGCTACCTCTTCTCTGAAAAGTGGTTAGTGTGAGGACCATAACACGCATGTCTGTAGACTCAGTGCAATAGGCGTACCTGTGTGGCAGCTATGGTCACTGTTCTCTTTGAAATACCTTGAAATACACTTAACGTCTTTGATAAAAATAAGATAACCTAAATTATGTTTTAAAGGTGTACTATAATTAAAGGTAACTATAATTAGGAGGTGTTTTGGAGGCAGGATTTATTCAGAATTGCGCAATATTTTATTCAGTGTTGATGTAATTATATTGCTGTTTAAAGTAATAGATGATCACTTATTTCAGCAGAGCTGAGTATTTAAATGAATATTCAGAATACTCTGCCATAAAACATGTTATGGCATTTACATGCAGTGTTCAAAATGAAAAGATTTCACACCCAAACTGGGAAAGAAAAACTAAGAATATTACTTCTGTTTTTATTTAGAGAAAAGAAAGTGAAAATAAATTTTAAAAATTGACATCCTAAAACAACTTTTGTGGAGCTACTGTCTCCTACATAATTACCATTCAGATTAAATCTTTCATATTGTCCAGTTTTGACTTAACGTCTGTTGTTGCAGCTTCCCATTCCAGCTTGGTAGGTTTCTCTTATTCACTGATCTTTCTTTAAACAGATTCTTTGCTAGATAAGTAAGCTTTTTTTCCTTTGTGCTCTAGGACTTTCCTGTCTAGATCTTCACAAATACAGAGCTTTTTTCAAAGTTAATTGTATACTTCACAGAAATTCAGAATCATTCTGTTCTTTAAACCATTCCAGTCTTTCCACTTTCTCAGCAGACACCAGTATTATTTTCCTTAAGGAGCATGGGTGGTCTGAGTTGGGCTTAGTTTATGTAAGAAAATATCCTACAATGGAGTTTATTTAGGGAGGAGTCCATAACCAGACATGGTCTTTGAAGCAGCAGCCAGAGGTTAAACTGGCTCACTCATGGGGAATTCTTCGTAATTTAACCACCACCAATTTCCTTTGGGCAGATGAATTTCTGAATGGAGCAAAACTACACATGTAGTTTGCGTTTTCCAGTTCCTCATGAGGGTCTGTTTATGTAACCTGGTGAATCTTAAACATAATCCTCAAAAAGATGAGAAAGAACATAATTTACAGTTACTGTGTTGTAGATGACTTAAGACATGGGTTAATGTTGCGCTTGCAGGCGAGTAATCAGAAATATTTTTAGAGCAAAGCACACTGTTAGGACTGTAGTTGTATTTAACCCTTGAGCAAATTGTACAGTATTTTTGGTTACCAGTGGTAAAGGATCCAGTTACACATGAGGCACATAACAGATTAAGTGGAAGAATTCAGTTTCTGCTCCAGGATCTTATGCTCTGGGACTTTGTTTGCAAGATTTCTCTGTTTTCTGTGACATTGTAAGTGCATCTTTGCACTTCTGTTAATCAATATATGTTGCACTAACTTTTTTCATGAAAGGAGTAGAGTTTTGGTTTGTTATTCCTTTTGCTCACAGGGGCCTTTTGAATCCTGAAAACGGGTTTCCCTCTCCTTCAGTATTTTAAAAGTCACATAGTTCAAGTGATAAATACGTAGGCAACGTATTGTGGTTATTGCTACACAGCATATTCTGGGTCATGCCAGAGCAAAAATGATGGCTGCAGAGAGAAAAGTCCAAAGAAATCGGTTGTGGTAGTGTCAAAGCTGACCATCAGACCTGGGAACATGGATTTGTTAGAGATCTCGAACACTTGGTGTTGATGAGAAACAGCTCAATTAATTAGTCATGGAGACTGACATCCATGTACATTTATACTTGGAAGAATGATGTGCTTTGTAAAGGTCACACGTTGAAGAATCAGTGAGCAACTGCAGGTGTAACCAAATCAGAAAGTCATGCATTAGCAGTAGTCATTACTAACAGCATCATAATGTTCTATATTTTCATTTTCCTTGTAGTTCTGATAATTCAGCTTTGATCTTGCTAAAGAAGTATAGATGCTGCTCCATTGCCATCAGATTCATTAAGCTTAAAATAATAACCAGAGGCTTGTGTGCTCAGAAAATGTGATGTGGGACTGGAAAGCAGGTGTTACTAGGTACCCCTGAATACCCGGTAAATGTCAGCTGCTGGCTTGTTAATTTATACATTACAGATATATATTAATTATACTATTAGCTCTGAAAAAGTTGTGCTTACAGTTGTTAGCACGATGTACAGCATTGCTTGACAAGGATAGGATTTACCTTACCATGTAGGAAGCCAGCAAACGTAAGTACCATACTGTGTTCTGCCCTGTTGCATTTAGTGCAGTAATGCAGAAACTGAGAAATACAGAATATCTCAGAAGCTCTGCATTGCTTGTCTTAGCTATGAATTTGGGTGGTGTGTTTTAGTGTACGGAGTGCCTTTTATTGCTGCTGTGTTTTTGTGGTCCTACCGATGGATAGCTCTTGTTCTCGTTTGTTTACTGAATTTCTTTGTTGTTTCTGGTCTTGTGTTTCCCACCACTCAGGATTTGATCCAGGAAATAAATGAATTGCGGTTGAGAGTGGGAGAAATGGACAACGAAAGACTCCAGTATGAGAAAAAACTGAAAACTACCAAAGTAAGTGAGGCTGAGGGGAAGAAGCAGAGATGGGTGTAAGTCAGGCTTTAGAAGTTCACTCTCTTTTCCCCAGTCCTTGCCTGCACCCTGCAGAATCCTGAGCACACTCAGGCCCAGGGGTTTCATAGTACTCACTCAGCAACAGGGGTTATTTCCAAATTTCATGCTATGGTTTTCAGATATGGGCATTGTTTTTTATAAGGGATCACTCACCGTGCAGCTGGCTGTTAACAAGAAATGATATACCTGTTTAGATCCTTGTTTCACATATGTGTCAAGAAACACCTGTTGCAGTACATAGGGTGTGTGCCATAGGTGAGATCAAAGCTGAGCATATATTTCTTCTAAATGTGCTAAAAATCAGGCACTTCTGAAGAGAAAGCATTCGCATAAGTAATTCTAGAAGCCTGTTTCTATAAGTGTCTAACTTCTCTTTGCCATTTAGCCTTGTCTCTTTTCTATCTTTAGTTTTCTCTCACTCCTCTGTCTCTGTTACCAGTCTTTAATGGCCAAACTTTCTAGTATGAAAATCAAAGTGGGTCAGATGCAGTATGAAAAGCAGCGGATGGAGCAAAAAAGCCAGATGCTAAAGGTGTAGTAGTTTCTGGGTAACATTGGGCCTGTTTTGAAACCTTCATGTTCCACCGTTTTATGGTCTGTCTTGCATCATGCTGTCATGCTCTGTTCTTCATTAATTGCTGTGTGTTGATATGCAATGTGCTCTTTCCCATTAGATGTGGAAAGCTCTTTATGGAGATATTCCTTGTAAACAGCTTTTATATTGGATGGGAGAGGATTTTAGTGTTGTGAACTTTGCAGAGTTCACACATAATGGAATTAGACGTGTTAAAATCATCCCTCTTCCGAGGGAAGATCATCTCTTCTCTAGCTTATGTCCATTATTCAAACAGAACTTTTTCTCACCTTTTTAGAGAAAATTTATTCAAGAAAACTAGATAGAAAATAGTGATTCTTTTATATTGTCTTCTCTCCCACATGTAAATTTACATAATGTCTTTCTAATTCAAAGGAAGAAATACACATCCACAACCACATGCAGCTCTAGTTGCCCACGGGTATAACAGCAGCTTCTCAAGTGACCAAGAGATGGTCGTGTTTTGGAGAAGCATGGGTCCTACACTGGCAGAAATCTTACCAAAATCAGTACCAAGTTGGAGCACTGGAGGACTGTACTGCCCAGCCACTGTTCTGGAAGAAGCTTTGATATCTTGACAACCTTAAGATTGATCTATATTTTAATGATGCTTTGGAGCAAACAGGAACCAATTCCAGAAAATTCTGCAGTCTGGGCCATAGTTTGGGTCAAGACATCACTATATATTTGCAGCAGATCTTTTGAGGGAAGCTCAGGACTGTACCTAAGCCACAGTATTCTGGTTTGGTTTATTCCTTTAAGGATTTAAAACTTCAGTTAGAAGCTGTAAATGCCAAAATTATGAGTCTTGCCTTGTTTTGTTTTGTTTTGTTTACAAATGGTACAAATTAGATTTTCAGTGTTGGGTACATTTGCACCGAGAGTCCTGTCTTGATGATGCTGTTGCACAAGATATCCTCGGACATCAAAGAAACATGTTACTAAACTGGGTAGGATTTGACTCAAATTTTAAAAAGTTAAATGCATGGATCTGTGCCAGTCACTTGCTAGGGCAGATGGTTAGATCTAAGTTATAATTTGACAGCATTTATCTAATACACCCCAGCTCCCCCAAACACCATCTGTCTTATTCCCATGAATCTCAGCTCTAAGCTTCCTTTCCTAATGCTTGATCAGCAAACCCAAACTGTGGCAGAGGTACCACGTTTGTGTCT